AATGTTTCTTTTAAACATTTTTAATTAATATCTGCATATCTCTGAGATGAGGCACTGATGATGACTTACATTATTCGGATTGTTATCCTCATCTTCATTGCCATATTCCCAACGTTTCGGTCGTTGTACGCCCCGGCCTTTGTGATTGGAATTTCGATTCAAACCCTTTATTTCATCCACCGGGGTAGATTGTTCTACTTCGATGTGCCATGCCTCTTCCGGATGTCTCAGTTATTTCCCTTTAACTCAACTCTCTAAGTTTGGCTCACCACTGGCAAACTGTCCTCAAGGACACATGGCACAGTGGATAAATACGTTGTTAGATCCAGTGACTAGACCCAAAGAGTTGCGAGTTCAATACCAGGCCACAGCGGTTAAAAAGGGCTTTGAGTGAATGAAGTCTTGGTGAAGACCACACTTCTTTGAACATTGTTTGTGATTCTGTAACGCCATTTCACAAAGAAATGTACTAAATAAAAGAAACCACATCACTCGAGAAGTAGCAACAGCTAAAATGGATATCATATGTAATTAGAAGAGAAATTAATGGTATAACCATGATGTTGATATTCCACACTACTTCAAACAAAAGGTTAGGAAGGAAAACACCCAACAATACTGGAAAGAGCTATAACAGATATAGGACTCAGGAAACCGATTTTCCAGAAAAATTCTTTTTAATGAAAGTTTAACATTTCAACCGAGAGTAATGGAGAATGAAAAAGTAAAAAGCTTTATTTGTTATCAAAAGAAGCCCATACATATGTAAGAGAATTAGGATTAAATCTTGAACATAGCACTGAAGTAGATACCACCGCCACAAAATCAGCAAGTAAACTGAAACAGGAAGCGAAAAAGCTAGGCCAAAAGCTGGATTTAAAAGCAGATGGAAGGACAAAGTCGGAGTCAAAAGCCTCTGCACTGAATGACAATATAGAGGCACAGATGAAGAAAATTGGTATTAATTGCCCAGTGGAACTGTTGCAGAATGGAAACCCCATTTGGAAACGGGATGAATACGGAAAATGATGAATGCTTTGGAACTCTTCATTTCTTTCACACCAACATTCATGAGTGAAATAACAGGACAGGGATGACTCTGAACATGACTGGCAACCAGCACAAGACAATGACGAACTGAATTCCAACCAATTGTCAATTTCAAAGTGGCGATCCTTTGAATATTAACCGTTTTAGCAACCCACGATACGTGTATCTCGATCATGATAACTGTCTATGGCTCTGTCTAAAAGAGCATGCTAACTTTTCCTTTCTATTTTTTTTTAAGCATTTCACCCCAAGCAAGGTGGTAGTGCCACTAGCACGCAAGGGTTTACAAATAATGGGAGCAAGAGTAAAGAGGCGTGATAGAGGAAAGGATGAAGAGAAAGACGAGGAATAAATATATTAGCTCTTGGAAGACATCTTTTGCTCTTCCAATGGACCTTCAGATTTCGGTGTCGTCTTTTCCATCCTCTCTTAAAACACGTTATACTGACTTAATTCTTCCATGAATTTTATATGTCTCAGTGTGCACTCCTTGAATTTGATTTAGGAAGTATAGCTGGTGTTATAAAGAGTATCTGTTGAAAACAGTTTTAAATAATAATGGTAATTCACAATATCATAGATGAGCGAAAACATGTGCCTGCAAAATACCCATTGCCTAATCAGGCATAGCCTTGAAGTAAACTGCATTGGGAAATGCCATATCGCAGTCAGCTCGCCAGGCCAGGTTTTTTCTTCTTCTCTGTGCCGTATCCGTTCAGGATATGGGCGATCATGGCCCTTGTAGCTGTTAGAAATGTTTACCTCCCTCCTAATCCCTATTCTGTCAACAATTTAGATAAGCTCCTTAGGTTATTTACTGCTTTCCTCTATCCATCTTGTTTTCAACATGGTCTGTGAGTGTTCAGTTTTCAGAACCCTGTTTTCTAATTATGTGCTATAGAAATTTCAGTGGTCTTTCTGATTCTGAGCGCCGTATATTCAAACCAGCTCCATGTATAGTGTCATCCTTGATATTTCTGGCGTAAATTTCAACCCTTCCAGAAAAAATACCCGTATATTGTGCAATAGGTTACAGAAAATGGATGAATTTTAACTTCTTCACAAATAAAAAAATCTAAAAGTAAAAATAAAAAATAATGTAAAAAAAAATATTAAAATTAAAAAAAAAATATAAAAATAATAATTTCCTGTGTAGAGTGTCGTCTGTTTTTTTGCATAAAACTGACCATAAAAACCGCATTAAATATCTGTCCTTTTTATTTTCATTTTCTCGAAAACTTTGACGTTAATACCTGCAAATATTATCTTTGCTGTTAAATATTTAAAATGCATTTACAAAATGCTGTGACATGACCCAATAAGGATTCAAACATTTTCTGCACAATCTTGTATTAAAATGACATTTCCCGTCATCGTACACGATCATACTTCTCCACAGCTTCCTGTCCTTTGTAACTTTAAGCAACTTTGTCTCCTTACCACCCGGGCTTATGGCCAAATCACGTGGAAACACCGGTTCTCATACGATCACCGAAGTTAAGCAACATCGAGCCTGATCAGTACCTAGATGGATGACCACTTGAGAAAAACCAGTTACTATAAGCTTGGATGTGCAGGTGGTGCAATTGATAGCAACTCAGAATTGCAAATCAGAGCGTAGAGTTCCAATTCCAGTCAAGTTCGTTATATTCATTTACTCTTGGAGAAATTATGAATCCATCTCTTCTCCCCCAGTTATGGGTTAATTAGTACCACTTGTATCATATATATATATTGAACAATAAAAAATATTAAACAATTAAAATCTTCAGATACACTGGGTTGTAGATAAATATTCTTTCGTTATTTTTTTATTATTATTTCATTTAGATTCCTCGACTAGTTTCGGCCAAAATGGCCATCATCAGGAGAAGAAATATTTCTGCTTGCTGGTAGCAGTGAACTACAGAAATGAATGTCTTGATGGAGAAAATGAACTTTTGGCTGTAGCTTTCATTTGTTTTTTTTTTATTTTTTTATCTTTTTAACATGAATCTTAACATTCCTTGTGTTGGTCAAACAGTCTCTTTTAAGTTGTTATTTGAGATAAGATGTGGATGGATCTATGCTTCTCAGAATTCCCCTGGTCAGTTTGACAGTTTTATTGGTCCTGGAGAGGGGGTGTGTCTCTGTTAAGCGTTTGTGTGTGTGTGTGTGTGTGTGTGTGTTATTTGGTTCTTAGGGAATGAGTGAGTGTGAGATGTGTAAGTGTGTGTATGTTATCATTTGGCTCATTAGGGAGTGATGAGTATGATGTGTGTAAGTGTGTATGTTCGTGTGGGTGTGTGTATAAGTGTGAGGCCTCCACATCTCCGTAAGCATGTCTGTCTTGTGTAGGTGATATATTAGTACTATCTATATTGTTAAATTTATGGTTTAGCCCAACTGGATAGTATGTTTTTAGACGTTGTATCCACTTTCTGTAAAACCGCGTATTATGACGATAATTTATGTTTAAAATGGATTTCACATTTCTCGTCGGTGCCAGAGGTCGATATTGAAGTTAAAAATCCAGGGTAAATTTTAGCTTCAACATCGACCACTGACACCGACGAGAAATGTGAAAGACATTTTAAACACAAGCATAAATTAATTATTGCCGCAATACGCGGTTCTACAAAAGGATGCCAAGAATTCTATGGATAGAACACATTAGCAACGAGGAAATAATATATATATATATATATATATATATATATATATATATAGCTGGTACGCAATATTCTCTTTGCAGATGATGCTGCTCTATTAGCACACAGTCTAGAAGACATTCAAATTATCCTTGATAAATTTTCTGAAACAGCGAAAGCATTTGGACTCACTATCAACACAAAGATGACTGAGCTAATGTATCAGCCAGTACCAAGCAATCCATCTCTTAATGTTACGGCCTTAAAAACTTTTGAGGCATTCACTTATCTTGGATCAACAATCTCTTTTGATGGAAAAATAGACAGAAATTCAATCCAGAATAGCCAAAGCCAGCACAGCATTCGGTAATCTTAACCATAGATTATCGGACATCAAAGAAGTGTCTCTCAGGGTAAAGATCGACATATACAGATCAGTCGTTCTCTCAACCATTTTCTATGTTACTGAAACAAACTTGAACCCTGTACCACAAATACATAAATCGACACCTTTCACATACGCTGACCTCGTGTCATATGTGATATAAAATGGGGTGAGAGGGTCGAGAATAGTGCAAATACTGAAGATATGTAACAACATCACAGGCATTGAAACCATTCTAGCAAAGATACAACTTAGGTGGCCTGGTCATGTTGTGAGAATGGATGAGTATAGGATTGCAAAGAAGGTGCTGTTTGGACAACTACCAAACTCCAAGCGTTCACTTGGACGTCCACTCTTACGCTACAAAGACAAATTGAAAGATAACTTGAAACGTCTCAACTTTGATCCGAAAACCTGGGAAGCCTACGCATCAAACCGAACGGAGTGGCGTAAGACATGTTTCATTAAATTAAATGGTTTTGAAGATAGTAGATAGAATATCCGTAATCAGCTTCGTCAAGCTCTGAAGCAGAGACGCAATCAAAATCCTGCTTTAACAATTTTCATCTGTCAGTGTGGTTTTGTCGTCCGCGGCGAGGCTGGGCTAGTATCACACTTAAGAAAGCACAAAGGAAATACGTCTTTCCCTTACCTGATTTTCTCCACAATTGCCCCTCCTGGCATTCATAAGTGTAAAACAAAAGTCACCATCCAATGTTGGCCATCATTTATCGTTCATGATAGGAGAGTTCACTATATATATATATATATATATATATATATATATATATATATATGCGCGTACGCACACACACTTTTACCCCTAAGTATAGCATACCTTATGTCGTAATTATAAGTCATCCGAGTTCACACTTCTTAGATAGTAACAGGATCAAATCCAGCAACCCTCATTTGAGCTAAAACAGTGCTATAGAAATTAGCGACATTCCTTTTAATTTACTTTTTATTTAGCAATTGTGCTCGACAATTAACTGAGTCAAGCTTATTTTTATTTTATATCTGGACAAACCTACAGGATACTTCAACGTCGGATATAAGACAGCGATGGATTTTATTTATTTATTCTTTAGACATAGGTTTTCCGTTTTAGTGGAAAAGAATTCTCTATCTTCTAGGTTATCAAGTACAGTGTATACCATATTACATCATGCAGATTTTTTTTAAGAAGATTTTGTTATGAATTTTATGTTACATGATTGTTAACGATCATTTTACAAGTTAAATACTTGAAACTGGCAAAATGTATTGCCTCTACGCAACAGTAAATTCAGGTGTCGTTATTTTTTTTTTTTATGTACCAAGTTCTTCCAGAACGAAGGTAATCATGACTCTTCACAACTTCCCGTCTTTGGTTGTTCATGTATTTTTTTAATATACGTATTTACAAAAGAATTATTTCCTTTATCAAAGGAGGTCACGCACAGAAGGAGTTGTCTTTTATTTTGCTTTTGGTGCTTCTTGAAACTATTACAAGAATTGTAAAAGATACATGGCTTAAGACCATATTCCTGGTTTTAGTACGATCCCAGATGTTGTAAGATTGGATGTGCAGCTAGAGTAATAGATAACATCTAGAAATAGAAGATAAGACGAGTTTCAATTCCAGTCGGGTTCGTTAAATGAAATGATATGAATCTACCTCTTCTCCCCCTAGCTATGGGTTAATTAGTAGGACTTGTATCAGTAAATCATTATCTCCCTCAACATTCTTACAATATAGAAAAAAAAGTTCATGTTTTGGATAATTTGCAAAAGGTTGATAAGCCGTAAAAAAAAAAAAAAAATCAATCAGTCAAATATGCGTAATGCGCTATTTGGACATAAGCATAATGTTTGCTCTACATAAAACAAGAGTCAACCTTAAATCTTACTCTTTTGCAGGTAGAATAAAATGGACTGTGGAGAAGACAATAGGAATCTTTTGTTCTGGCTAATATTCTAGCCCACTTTCTTCCTCCTCCTGTGTAGCCGATGTTTAAATTTTCGCTAGAGAGAGAATTCACGAGTTAGCAGAGAACTCTCCCAGCTTGCAACACTGGGTAGCTAGACTTGACGAGGCGCATTATCGCAGCCATTGAAAAGATTTTGAAGTTTTAACTGCGGTGAGAAGTGATCGAATAGAACAAAAATACATTAAAAAAAAAAAGAAAAAAGAGATTCTACAAAATCCATTTAAGTAATCATGAAATTAACACTAAATAAAATTTTCATTGAATCATGTTTCTACGGCTGCTTAACTTTTTAGAAAATTTTTATTAAAACAATTTATTAAAACAATTTATTTTTAATCATTTCACCCAAAACAAAGCAATAAAGCCACTAAGGAGCAAGGAGGTTACTGAGTGTTAGACAATGAGAAAAAAAACAAAACAAAAACAAACTACTATTAAAGAGAGAGGACAAAAGAATTAAGAAAGAAGATAACGATTGACACTGATTTTCAAAAATTTAAATGCAAAGTTGATTGGTAAACAAAAAGCCGAAAGATTTCTGCAAACGAGAAGTTCGATAGAAGAAACTGTTAGCATAGAACTTACGGTTAGATCTAACCATTTCAACTCTAAAATGATGAGACCTTTCCGCCAATCTAGTACTGCGCTTAACGTCTAGGTACCGTAGAGAAAAGTTCATAACAATTGTCATGAAAGTATTTATAGGAAAAAAAACTCAGGCAAGATACATTACGGCGGTGGGAAAGTGACTGAAGCCGAGATGCCAGGTCAGGATCAATAACATTACAGATTCTTTAGATTTTATCATGAATCTAAATGACTAACAGAAATATTTGCTGTACGAGCAAACATCAATCATGGCTTAATTAAATAAATTTTGAGTAATAAAAAAAAAAAAAAAAAAAAAAAAATATCACTAAATTCTAGAAGTATTGCAAAAAAAAAAAAAAAGGAATTCCCAATTAACTGTGGCGTTGGGTTGTGGATTCAAATCGACTGAGATCGAATAAAAGAATTTCGTTTTTTCTCGAGATTTTATATATACAAAAGATAAAAAGCTAAGAAAGAAAAAAAAAAAAAAAAGATACGAAGAAGTAGAGTTTTGATTTTTAGTGTTTGTTTTTTTTTCTTGATTTTTTCTTGTTTTTACAAGAAAAAAACCCAAAAAAAACACAAAAACAAACACTAAAAAACAAAACTGTCTACTTGCTTTTTTGTAAATTAAGCTTACAGATTAAAATCTAGATTAATAAAGTACCAATAGGCCTCGTGAATAGAATGGCACACAAGCAGATAACATGGGTTGAAATCCGCAATTTGTGTAGATCATACCCATACCGAATAAAGACAACATTGTACCGATTGTAATTATGTCAGCCATGTAATTGTAATATTCCAACCATGAATATCTAAGACACATGTCGTAAAGAAGCGATCTTCCTAAAGCTTGAGCGTATTTAATTGATATTTACATTGGGGAGATTCGAAGAACGACGATAGGCCGCCGCCGCCGTGGGTATTGGCGTGTAAAGACCGAACGGTGTACCTTTGGATAAGAGTTGGAGG